CTGAGCCCATGTCCTCGTCAGTCAAATGGAGATGTTTCTAGTACCTAGTCTAGCACAGGGCTCTGGTGAAGGCTCACTGAGACGAGAGTGTTTATGGCCATGGTGCTTAGCACTGTGTCGACTGTGTAGATATTAGCATTATCATTAGCAGAGAGAGGGAAAGAGAAGGTCATGAGTCCTTTTCAGAGTCTAAGGAGTGATTGCAAATCTTAAAAAAAAAAATTGGGGGCACCTGGGTGGCTCAGTTCGTTAAGCGTCTGCCTTCGGCTCAGGTCATGATCCCAGGGTCCTGGGATTGAGTCCCGAGTCGGGCTCCCCATTCAGCGGAGAATCTGCTTCTCCCTCTCCCTCTGCCCCTCCCCACTTCTTGCATGCGCGCTCTCTCTCAAATAAATAAATAAATTCCTTAAAAAAAAAAAAAAGAGTGCTTGTAGGTCACCTGGTGGGAGACATCTGTCAGGCACTTGGCAATGAGGATTTGGAGCTCAGGAAAGAGATTGGAAAGGATGATATGATCTGGGTGTTGCCTGCAGAAAAGTGAAGGTTACCTGGGAGTACACACATCAGGAAGAAGGTGAAGAGTTAGAACACTGAGCAGAGGTCGTGGAGGAGCCTTTGGGGAGGGGTCAGGGAGGAAAGCCAGAGAAGCCTTCGGAAGAGCCTTACTGGGAAGGCATTCTGCGGAGACGGTTCTGCAGGGCTGAAAGTGTCTTCAGCCTCAGTCTGTCAACCACATTCCTGCCCCAGGTCTGTGACAGCCTTGGGCGGCGACACACAGCCACCTGTGCCCTCTGTGACTTCTGCTCCCTGAAGCTGGAACAGTGCCACTCGGAGGCGGTCCTGCAGCGACAGCTGTGTGACAACTCACACAAAACACCCTTCATCAGCCCCTTGCTCATAGCCCAGAGCATGTCCATCGGTACCCAGGTACCTAGCCAGGCAGCCTGCAGTGGGGGAGGCCTCAGGCTCCAGGAAGGACTGGGCAGTGGGAAGGGAGGTCTGCACGGGGGCAGGGGCATGCACCTCTCCCCTGTCCCCTGTGCCACAGGTAGGGACGCCAACATCAGGCCGCTTCTACGGGCTGGATATGTATGGTGGACTCCGCATGGACTTCTGGTGTGCCCGGCTGGCCACCAAGGGCTGTGAAGATATTCGGGTGTCCAGCTGGCTCCAGACAGAATTCCTTAGCTTCCAGGATGGGGATTTCCCCACCAAGGTCAGAGCCTTTCCCCAAAGCTCAAGCCTACCCCAGTTGTCCCCATTCCTTCCAGTTCCTTGCTCTAAGTAGCCCCAAGATGTGCCAGGGGGCTAGGCCTCTGGCTTCTGGGGAACCAGTCCTCACTGAGCCTCCTGCCTCTTTCCAATAGACGCCCTTCCACCCCCACCCCCTCTCAAAAAAAAAAAAAAAAAAAAGAGCAGGGTTGTGTTTGTGAAAGGAGCAGGAATCAGAGGGGTGGAGGGGCTGGGAGAGCACAGGCCTGGGAGGCAGGAGACAGAGGTTCTGATCCCGGCTCTGCAGGGTCCCTGCTGAGGGGCTCTGGTCAAGTCACTTCCCAAACTGGCCCAAAGTTAGACTCACCTTTACAACCGATGCTAAGGGGATGCCCGAGGTGTCATGGGCCTGTGACCCAGTGCTGCCCTGCCTCAGTCTGGCGGGCTCCTTGCCCTACAGTTCCAGCACTTTCCCTGCTCAGTGGAATCAACTTTGCTCCCTCTCTCCCCAGAGTGACCTCCCCTGTGGAGCTACTCGTTGTTGACTGACAGCCAGGTCCCTCCCTCCTGCAGTTTAGCAGGAAAAGTCAAGGCCAGGAAAAGCCGGGGCAGCTTAAGAAAGGGTTGGTAGCCGAGATGAGGGGCCCCTTCCCAGCTCTTATCCCTGGGCCTGAGGAGAGGTAGACCCTAGAAGGGGTCTCAGAGATCATCCCTCCTCCTCCCCTGGATTTATAGTTGGGAAGGCGAGATCCACAGAGGGAAGTGATTCACCCAAGGTCACACATTAGAGATTCTTCTACCTTCTCCCTCACTTAACCCACTAGAAGGCTCCCCGAGACTGGACCCCTGCTTGGGCCCCCTTCCCCATTCCCTACTCCTCAGCAACTTGCCCAGCAAGCTGACCAGCAGGGCAGCCACTGAATTCTCCAGCTCCTGGCTTCTGTTCAGCACCGAACTGTGACTGAGGGTGGGACAGGAAAGGCCCAGGGGACAGAGGCCTATTCCTCAGAGAAGGGGGCACCCCGGGTGTAGAAGGTCTGGTTCTCAAGGGCTCCACCTCTGGCCCCGGTTCGGCCATTATGGGCTCTCTCTGGAGGACTGGCATCTTAGAAGGCTTCTGATGTCTCCGCACCTCCCCATTCCTGGCTCCTGGCTTAGATTTGTGACACAGACTATGTACAGTATCCAAACTACTGTACCTTCAAAAGCCAACAGTGCCTGATGAGAAGCCGGGACCGGAAGGTAAGCCCCGCCCCCCGCCCCCTACTTCTCCCCTCAGCCCCTCAGTCGGGTCACCAGAGGGGGGTCTGTTCTGAGCACACACACACACACACACACACACACACACACACACACACACTCCACTCTGCTCTGAGCAGGGGTGAGAACAGTTCCCAGCTTGCCTCTCTGGGCTGAGGCCTCCACCAGAGCCCTCCCTCCCACCCCCTCCTGTCTTGGAGTAAGCGAGGCCCTCCCTCCAAGGCAGAGGTGGGGGGAGGGGCCCAGGAGGGATGTGCAAATAAAAGGAGAGGGCCCTTGGGGCACCACAGCAAGAATTCCTAGCTGGGTTGGGCATTGGATATTGAGGTCTGGACTCTTACTCACCAAGTAGTCTGGAATAAGTCACTTCCTTCTCCATTCTCAGCCTCCTCGCTTCTTAGAGGTTGGGCTACTTGGTGTGTCTTGCAGCCTTAAAAACCCACATTTGTTTCCTCCTTCCTCCGACTGCCCTGTGCCCATCTCCACTCGCCTCTGGTTCCTGTGGGACTAATGCCACTTCCCCACCTCCGCGCCTCTGCCCCCTGGGCTCTGTGACACAGACTGTGTGTCCCCGATCCCTGTGTAGGTGTCCCGGATGAGATGTCTGCAGAACGAGACTTACAGCATCTTGAGCCAGGCCAAAAGTGAGGACCTTGTGCTTCGATGGAGCCAGGAATTTAGCACCTTGACTCTAGGCCAAGCCGGATGAGCTGGGGTCCATACTGTCTTCACCCCAGCCCGACCTTTCCACATTCCATTGCTCTTAGACCCCATCTGTCAATTTGCTTCCTGGCTGCCCCTTATGGGTCTCTTATCGGGCCCCTATTCACTTTCCTTGGGTTGGGGCAGCAGTCCCAGAGAGGCCCATGATGGGAACGCCACCCTCCTTAAAGGATGTCTTTGCATAAAGTGTTTATTTTCAACCTGTGTGGCCTACTTTGGTTATGATCCCATACTCAGCACTGCCATCCTGCCCCTGGGAATCAACACTCCAACCCCTGGGATTTATGGATCCGTCTAAAGATGAAAGGACCTCACGAATGGTACTTAGGGAAGTAGCCAACTGCCAGGAGACCTAAGGAATCTGCTGGTTGGATTGAAGAAGGCCATGGCTGGGGTCTTAGGGATTGTGTGGGCCATGAGGGCGTGTGTCTTCATTTCTGAAGCCCGTAACTTCAGATGAGTATAAGATTGTCCCTCTGGAGGATAAAGGCCAGAGCCTGCCTGAGATCATGTCCCAGGGGTGGGGGGAATAACCCCAGGGAAGTAGGGCAGAACTTGCACTTCATCAGGAGGGAGGAGACATCCGGGACCTGGAGCTCAGGAAACCCTTGATTTCACATCCAGTGATGGGCCAGATGATCTGAACTTTGAGGTGGTCACATCTTGACAACATACATTGAGGTGTGACTCCAGCATTGGTCATTAATAACTTGGGATCTTCCAAAATGTGTTCTAGGGACACACATGTTCTGTACAGTCTCTCCTCCTACAGGTACACGGTGACTAACAGCATTAAAAAAAAAAACAAAAGAAAAACTTGTCTTTTATGGAGAAGTTCAAACTTGCACAAAAATAGAATAGTATAATGCGCCCTGTACACCCTTCACCCAGCTTCACTTATGAACACATGGTCAATCTTCTAATGGCATGGTAAAGACCGTCAGAAGTCCTGTCATAGGGGCGCCTGGGTGGCTCAGTTGGTTGGGCGACTGCCTCCGGCTTGGGTCATGATCCCGGAGTCCTGGGATCGAGTCCCACATCGGGCTCCCTGCTCAGCGAGGAGCCTGCTTCTCCCTCTGACCCTACCCCCTCTCATGTACTCTCTCTCTCTCTCTCTCTCATTTTCGCTCTCTCAAATAAATCTTAAAAAAAAAAATCGGGGCGCCTGGGTGGCTCAGTCGTTGAGCATCTGCCTTCGGCTCAGGTCATGGTCCCGGGGTCTGGGGATCGAGACCCGCATCGGGCTCCCGGCTCCGCGGGAGGCCTGCTTCTCCCTCTCCCACTCCCCCTGCTTGTGTTTCCTCTCTCGCTGTGTCTCTCACTGTCAAATGAATAAAATCTTAAAAAAAAAAAAAAAAAAAGTCCTGTCATAGAGAAACCTGTTCAGCGTAGTGTTTCTCAGACTTACTTGACCGCAATATCTTTTTCGCCTACACTCAAAAAATTTTAAGTTGTTTCTGTCTATTGGGCATGGACAACATGCCCAGCCTTGTTGATGCAGAAAATAAGGGGCCCAGCCAGAGGGCGCAGAACAAGGGGCTACCGTCTGAGTCCCCCGTCCCCCAGAGCTCACAGCCTACAGGAGCCAGAGGGAAGCAAGGAGGAATGGCCCCAGGCAGGGAGGGGCATGGCCATGAATGGCAAGTGCGAAACTACCTGCTGGAACCCAAAAGAGAAAGAGACACCCAGGAGGAACTGGTATAAGTACAGCTCGGGGTGGGTGGTTAGTCATCTAGCATCAGTGGGTGGGTGTGCCAGTTGAGCTTCCCGGAAGCTAGGGAGTGTGTGAGCAATGGGTGGGGGGAGGCATTAGTAGGCAAGAGCTGGGGCTGGACTGAGTGCCATTCTCGGCCGGGCTTTCTTCACTGACCGGCTGCAAAGGCCACTGAGGGCATTGCTTCCTCTCTCTCCCTGCCCCGGTGGGGTTGGGTGAGTGCAGGGAGCTGGGACACGCTGAGATCTGCCAGGAGAGCGTGTCCCCACCCACCTCAGGAGCAGGTCCTACTAGCCCAGCCAAGCCCAGAGCAGGCAGCGGAAGCCACAGGGAGCACAGGTATGGGGCTGTCACCGGTGGGGTTGAACTTTGCAGGGGGCACAAGTCCCTCCTTTAGAATGGGGTTCATGGGTGGGGATGGAGATAAGAGTGAGCCATGGGACCTGGAGAACCTTTTTGAATAGAATAAAAAGCTAAAAGGGGAGCGAGCCAGGGGAGGCAGCCACCATACTTGGCACACCCGGGAGTGCCCCTCTGAAGCCCAAGGCCCCCACACTGGAGCATCTTGGGGAGATGTGTCTTCTCCTCCCCCCCCCCCAAAGCCCCCATGGTTATGCTGAACCCTGGGCTTCCCACAGCCACTGAGGAGGGCTCTCTGGGGGTGGTGTCTAGCCCTTTCCCACTCTCAGATAAAACTTAACTCCAGGACCCCCCCCTCCCCCCAGGTCAAACCCTCTGCTAGATGACAACGAACTAATTGATTAAACTCCACTAATGGGTTTACTGGCACAGATGTGTTCTTGCGGTTATCCTTCCCAGCTAACCAAGGTGTATCTTAATGGAGTCTTTGAGAAACACCGCTTAAACCCAGTGTGTCCATCTTCTATATGAGAAGATTAGACGAGACGGTCTCTAATGTCCCTGTAACTCTGATAGAATGTGGCTCATGAGTGGCATGAAGGGGATGGAATTTCAGATATTGAGCACAGTTGGGGGAACTATCTGAAGGTCGGCAAGGCCTTAGGATAACTTTGGATCACACTACTAAGGGCAGCTGCCTATCTCTTACCTATATTTAGGGGAGCCCCCATGACAAGAAGGGGAACTCCCACCAGGTTGTATCTCCGGCTCCTTTTAGGGTGAGGAAGTTGTAGCCCCAGGGGGAGATGGAGGCAAGGATTGAGGGAAAAACAGGAACTTGCCCATACCTGTAAGCCTCACCTCCTGGCCACTCAAGAGACACTAGAGCCCAGCTCCATCTGTCTCTGCCTGATGTCCCCCCCTACTCAGCCTGCTGCCCCCAGAATATACCCCAGCAACATAGACACCTTGTGTGCGGGGAGGGGGGGGGACACCGGAAGGAGGCAGCAGAAAGGGGGAGGGCGAAGCCAGAGGCATGCAAGAAGTGCTGCACAAGTTCAGAGCAAGGTCAAAGATGAGAAGTCTCCGGCTTTCTCTGCGGGGGCAGGACCCATCCAGGCCCCAAAGCAGGGGTAAGATGTGCACGGACGACTCAGGGCACAGGGCTGTGGCTGCGGGCTGATCTGGTCCGAGCGACTTCTCTGGATGGTGACTTTATTTCCTGTTTTTCCAGCTCCTGAAAGCAGGGTGGAGGGAGATGTGCGGGTGGTGAGGTGACATCCACACACAGGGGAAACAAATTCCTGAGCTGTAGGCCACCTTTGCTTTCTGCTTTTGCCCAGAAAAAAATGGGAGAGATGAGGTCAGAATACCCAGGGAGAGAAGACATGGCGGAGGATGATACTGGATGATGCAGGAAGAGACAGGCTGAGGTGGGCCGGGTGGGGAGAGGCTGGAGCAGGAATTTTGGCTGGAGAAGCAGAGCAGCCCTGGAACAGGAAGAGGGACCGTGGAGATAGGGCACAATAGCCACGGGGGGCCTGTGTGTCCCCCCCATTCCCCCCAGGGAAGGAAGAGGCCGTCCACTCACTGTGGTGACGTTGTACTACCTCTGCGCCATAGACCCCTCAGGCAAGCTTACACTTGGGTAAGCCTCTGCTGGAGGCTCCTGCCTAGTTTGGGTCTGTCTGGGGTCTGAACATACACGTATTAAGACGTATAATTTAGGGGCACCTGGGTGGCTCAGTCGGTTAAGCAGCTGCCTTCGGCTCAGATCATGATCCCAGGGTCCTGGGATCGAGTCCCACGTCAGGTTCCCTGCTAGGCGGGGAGCCTGCTTCTCCCTCCCCCCCGCCCCCCCCCCCAGCTCATGCATGCACATGCTCTCTCTCTCTCAAATAAATAACGTCTTTTAAAAAGGGGGTATAATTTAGAATTAAGCCTGTCTGTGGGCAAAGGGTGCATCCTCCCAATGCTGCCCGCACACAGTGGCAGAAGTGAACTTAGCTAACAGGGCGGTTAGAACGCACAGGGGTGGGACGCACTGGCTGGCTGTGACTTCCAGCTGTGGCCTCCGGAATCTAAAATGAGGTTTGGGGCTGTTCTAGAACAGATCTTCTGGGGCAAGGAGAATGAGATCTGAGAGTCCTTCTTTTCAAACTTCTGGAGGATGTGAATGACTAAAGAGAGGAGACAGAGCCAGGCATTTGGCAGATGTGCAGGAGGGGTGGGGGGGTGCGCATGGAGAGTGTGGTGGACAGGAGGAAGCTGGACAAAGAAAAGTTATTTCTCTCCCCTCCCTGCCCCCATCATTGTCCCAAATCACCTATTCCTTTCTCTTCAACCCTCTCTGCAAGGCTGGTCAGCCTCCAGAAGGGTGGATAGGCACAGGCAGGTTGTGTGGAGGCGCGGGAGGGATGACCGTGACCTAGCCTCCTGCCCATTTTTACTCAATTCTCACTTCCTGCCTGGCAGAAAATAGCTCTGTCCCTCTGGCTTATCTCCGCAGAGAGCAGTGCCCAGCCCAGCTCAGAGGGCAATGGGACAGGCCCGAGAGTCCCTGAGGCCGTCAGGAACCTAGGCCTCGCATGTGCAGGTAGGAAGCTGAAAGAGACCGGGGGAGGAGGAAGGCGGCTGTCCAGGCTCCGGTGCGTGAGTGGTGTGGAGGGCGGGTGCTGTGCACTGGGCAGTCCCCAGCGTGCTTCCCTGGCCCCTCAGGATCTTGGTGCTGGGATCTGTTCGTGTACCTCTGCGTGGGGATGTGCTCCCGAGGCTGCCTGATGCTCTGTCCGGGTAAGAATATTGTCCCTATGGCCAGGGCTGTGTTTGCTCTTCCTTCTGTGGCCTAGCTGTCCACGCCTCTGTGCATGCACCCACTTGTGTGTTAGCGGGTGTGTATATATAGTGATTGTGCGTTAGCAGGGATCTTGCGTGCACGTCTCTTAGTGTGCCTACATGTCTGTGTGTCTTTGCACATGCACACATGTGTAGGGCTGCTGCTCGTTACCACATCCGTGCTCATGGAGCTTATTGAGATGATGTGGGCCTCCTGGTCCCTCCTTCTCTCTGGTGACACGAAGCCTCGGTGTTCGTTCTTTTCTGGGACAGCTGCTGTGTCTTCGCTTCCTCCACCTCCTCTACAACCTGACCTCTTTCTCAAGGCAGGATTGGGGTGAGATCCCGGGCTGCCCCTCCCCCCCTTCCCCCCCCCAGCTAGAGCCCTCCTTCCATTTCCTGTTTGCCTCCTTTTTGGCAGTTTTCCCCATCTTTGCCATCTGGCCTGGCACTGTGCCCATGCAGCTCCATGACAGGAGCCCCAGGGAAGCAGGCAGATGGGGTGGGGACCAGGGCAGGAGCCTGGCAGCTCTCAACGCCCGGCTTGGGCCATTGTGTGTGTATCTGTCAGAAAGGGATGACTTTTTGACCAGAGGGACTTCTTGGGGCGCTTGGGTGGCTCAGTCGTTAAGCGTCTGCCTTCGGCTCAGGTCATGATCCCAGGGTCCTGGGATCGAGCCTCACATCGGGCTCCCTGCTTGGCGGGAAGCCTGCTTCTCCCTCTCCCACTCCCCCTGCTTGTGTTCCCTCTCTCACTGTGTCTCTCTCTGTCAAATAAATACATAAAATCTTAAAAAAAAAAAAGGACTTCTCCACTTTGGAATCCAGTAACAAAAGCATCGCCATCTGCTTTACTAAAGCCTTCCTCACTTTACCTTTAAGTAGCAGCTCACCTAATACATTTCGGTCTCTTTAACATTGTAATTTGGTTGACAGAAATACTTGGCATTCTTGGAAAATAATTATTCATTCACTCATTCATTGTCTCCTATGTGCTTCCTAGTTGTAAGAAGCTATTGATTCTCCAGGTAATGGTTGAGAATGACAAACTGTGACTGTAATTATAGTGTAAACTGTTTCTGAGATTGTAATGCAAGCTGTTTCCAAACAGGCCTTTTCGGGGGCATGGTCTTCTACTAAGTGAGTTATACATGTGGACAAGATAGAGCAAGATAAGAAGCAGTTGGGGGACCGATACAAGAGATATTATAGCGAGATTACAGGATGTGTGAACATGGGGTCGGGGGGACAGATTTCCTTCCAGGCAGTCAGTGAATGTCACATGGGCCTGCTAAGCACGGAGACTGAAGTGTGAGTGAGCTTAGGAATAAAGCAATGGACGACGGGGCCCCACCCCACGACCTTACCATTTAGCCAGGGCTGATGGAAGCAAATAAACACGTAAAACAACCTGAGAAGTTCAAAGCAGCGAACTACTCAAGTGCTTAAGTAGGTAAGAGGACATCGTGAGGAGGGGCATTCCTAGGTGTGTGTGTGAAAGCCAGATGAGTCTGTGTTACCAGTGTTGGAAGTTCGAGAAAACAAGGGCTATTAAAAAGTGCATATTTTAACTGGGCAAATAAGGAAGTAACAGTTTATCTGTGGGCCCAGATTTCTTATGGGCAGCTGTAAGGGACCAGGTGCTCTGGGCAGCATGCATCCTCATATGCCACCATCCACTCTTGCTGCAAGCAGCCCTGGGGCAGCTGGAAACTGGGTTTGAATCCTGAATTTGAATGCTGACAGAGTTCTAGAGCGTTCAGTTTCCTTTCCTGTAAAAATGAGGGTAAACCTCTACCTCGAAGGGCTGTTGGAAGGATTAAAGACCATGTGTATAAAATACCCTGGGATGTAGGGGCGCCTGGGTGGCTCAGCTGTTAAGCATCTGCCGTCAGCTCAGGTTATGATCCCAGGGTCCTGTGATTGAGCCCTGCATCGGGCACCCTGCTCAGCAGGGAAGCCTGCTTCTCCCTCTCCCACTCCCCCTGCTTGTGTTCCCTCTCTCGCTGTGTCTCTCTCTGTCAAATAAATAAATAAAATCTTAAAAAAAAAAATACCCTGGGACATGGTGAATGGTCAGTAAATGATCGCTAGTATTTTTCACTCAACATTTATGGAGGTAGTGGCTGGGAAGACAAATATGACTCAGTCACAGTCCACAGCCCCTCCCCTCTAGAAGCTCACAGTCTAACGGGAGGGGCAGACTAAGCACAGCTAATTACGACACAGGTGGGACACCCATGGTGAACTGTGCACAAAGTGGAATGACATCTGCCTTGTGGGGAGGGAGGAAGGCAGGCGAGGCTTCACAGAGTCCTAAGAAATGATTGACTTGGCCAGTTGGAGAATGGGAGGCAGGGCATTCCAAGCAGAAGAACCTGCACCGCACGTGCAAGAGCAGAGTCCTGAACACATTAAGGTCTGTGCAGAATTATTATTAGTGTGGTGTGATTGGAGCAAAGAAACATGGGAGGTGGGGGCGCCTGGGTGGCTCAGTTGGTTAAGTGACTGCCTTCGGCTCAGGTCATGATCCTGGAGTGCCGGGATCGAGTCCCACATCGGGCTCCCTGCTCAGCAGGGAGTCTGCTTCTCCCTCTGACCTTCTCCCCTCTCATGCTCTCTCTCCATTTCATTCTCTCTCTCAAATAAATAAATAAAATCTTAAAAAAAAAAAAAAAAGAAGAATGGGAGGTGGGGCATCTGTCAGAGAAAGAGTCTGGTTTTATTTGCTTTTCGGCGTGTTTCAGCCCCATTTGGTATGATTTTCGTTGTTGAAATTGTTTTTTTTTAAGATTTTATTTATTTATTTGACAGAGAGAGACACAGTGAGAGAGGGAACACAAGCAGGGAGAGTGGGAGAGGGAGAAGCAGGCTTCCTGCAGAGCAGGGAGCCCAATGTGGGGCTCGATCCCAGGACCCCGGGATCATGACCCGAGCTGAAGGCAGACGCTCAACCACCTGAGCCACCCAGGCGCCCCTGAAATTGGTATTTTGCAGAGGAAATGTTTATTTCCTTTAACTGTTCTACTGAACCTCTTACAAGTCTTAAACTGCCGGTAGTCATGGTTGGAGGGAGAACAAATGAACAAAGAAACCCACAAGAAAGCTTTACTTAGAGTCAGGTTTACAGCTTGGTTCCATGTAAGAATTTAATCAGTTCCGGGGCACCTGGTGGGCTGTCGGTGAAGTGTGCAACTCTAGATCTCGGGGTTATGAGTTCAAGCTCCACGTTGGGTGTAGCGATTACTTAAAAATAAAATCGTAAGTGGCACCTGGGTGGCTCATGATTTTGGCTCAGGTAATGATATGGTGGGCCCTGGGATTGAGCCCTGCGGTGAGCCCCACTTCGGGCTCTGCACTCAGTGGGAGTCTGCTGGGGATTCTCTCCCTCTGCCCCACTCCCCACTCGTGCTGGCACATGCATGCTCTCTCTCTCACATAAATAAATCTTAAGGGCGCCTGGGTGGCTCAGTTGGTTAAGCGACTGCCTTCGGCCCAGGTCATGATCCTGGAGTCCCAGGATCGAGTCCCGCATCGGGCTTCCTGCTCAGCAGGGAGTCTGCTTCTCCCTCTGACCCTCTTCCCTCTCATGCTTTCTATCTCTCATTCTCTCTCTCTCTCTCTCAAATAAATAAATCTTTAAAAAAAAAATAAATAAATCTTAAAAAAAATCGTCTTTTTTTTTGAAAGATTTTATTTATTTATTTGACAGAGAGAAGACAGTGAGAGAGGGCACACAAGCAGGGGGAGTGGGAGAGGGAGAAGCAGGCCTCCTGCGGGGCAGGGAGCCTGATGCGGGGCTCGATTCCAGGACTCTGAGATCATGACCTGAGCCGAAGGCAGACGCTTAACGACTGAGCCACCAAGGCACCCCTTAAAAAAAAAAAATCTTAAAAAAAATTCAAGAGGAATAAAATCCAGTATCTTGGGATAATTGCTCAGGGTCTCTGGACAACTTTGCTCCTCAGATGGCATGTGGACCCATATTCATAGCATTGTTCACAATAGCCCAAAGGTGGAAAAACCCAAGTAACCATGGAGAGATGAATAGATAAACAAAAAATGTATATAAATATATTATTCAGCTATAAAAAAAGATTGCAATTCTGATACATACTAGAACCTGGATGGACCTTGACAACTTTATGTTAAGTGAAAGAAGCCAGACACAAAAGGACAGGTATTATATGATTCTACTCAAATGAGGTGTCTAGGATAGGCAAATTCAACTTGCACAACTCAACACCAAAAAAATACCAATAATCTAATTTTAAAAACGGGCGGAGGACCTGAACAGACATTTCTCCAAAGAAGACATACAGATAGCCAGCAGACAAAGATGCTCAACATTACTCATCATCAGGGAAATGCAAATCAAAACCAGGATGAGAGGAGCGCCCGGTGGCTCAGTGTACTAAGCATCCGACTCTTGATTTCGGCTCAGGTTATGATCTCAGGGTTGTGGGACAGAGCCCCCGTGTTGGGACCCACACTGGGCGTGAAGCCGGCTTAAGATTCTCTCTCTCCCTCTCCCTTTGCCCCCTCCCCCCTCTAAAAAAGAAAAAAGGCAAGAAATAACAAGTACTGGTGAGAATATGGAGAAAAGGGAACACTTGTGGACCATTGGTGGGAATGCAAACTGGTGCAGCCACTGTGGAAAACAGTCTGGAGGTTCCTCAAGTAATTAAAAATAGAATTACCCTATGATCCAGTAATTACACTACTGGGTATTTACCCAAAGAAAATGAAAACACTAATTCAAATAGAATAGGCAAATTTCTGGAGACAGAAAGTAGAATAGAGGTTACCAGGAGCTGGAGGGAGTGTGGGGAGGGAATGGGCAGTTAGTATTTAACGGGTATAGAGTTGTTTGGGATGATGAAAAAGTTCTGGAAATAGCAGTGATGGTCACGTAACATTGTGAGTGTACTTAATGTCACTGAATTGTATACTTAAAGTTTGTTAGGGCGCCTGCGTGGCTTAGTTGTTAGGCGTCTGCCTTCGGCTCGGGTCACGGTCCCAGGGTCCTGGGATCGAGCCCCGCGTCGGGCTCCCTGCTCTGCGGGAAGCCTTCTTCTCCCTCTGCCCACTCCCCCTGCTTGCACTCCCTCTCTCTCGCTGTGTCGCTCTCTGTCAAATACATAAAATCTTAAAAAAAAAAAAAAAGATGGTGAAAACAGTAAATTTTATGTTGTGTATATTTTACCCGCCCCCCAAAGATGGAATTTGGGGGTTAAGATGGAAGAGTAGCTTCTGTGGCATTAGGGCATTAAGGAGGGTGGGATTCTGAGACCATGCCCTGTCCTCCGGCTCTCCTATCTCCTGGCCACATCCTTTGTCCACGAGCTTTTGCCTGAGCATCGTGGCTGCCGGGAGCTGCTCTCTCCAGTGGCCTTGGCAGTGCCCTTGGTACGTCCTTGCCTCACTGCCACACTGTCTGGACTTAGGGTCCCCTCTGAACCCTCACTAAAAAACCACCTTCTCCCTCCATCGCAGAACCCCAGGTGGGAAGCTCCTTAGGCAGGTCCCCCTGGGGAGCACCTGGGAAAGTTCAACCCACAGCATCTTCCCCTGCCTGGCAGGACTGTGCTGGTGTGTGATCAGCCCATGAGAGCCCTTTATGTTATTATCCCCATTTTACAGATGAAGAAACTGAGAGAGTGGTCAAACAATCAAGCCGAACCGGGGTTGTTCTGACCACAAACACAGCCCACACGGGAGCGACCATGGATGTGATAAATGAGACTCAGATTTTGTACTGTACTGGGGAATTTGAACTTTATTCTTTAGATAATGGGGAGCCAGCAGAGCTGGGGAGTTCCAGGGGAGGTGCTCCATCGTATTTCTTACCATCTGACATAATACCTATTTACTTGCACTTTATTATCTGTCTCCCTTCAATGAAATGTAAAGTAGACGGGGGCAAGTCCTTTGTTTTGTTCAGGGCTGTGAACATTCCTGGAACCTTCTAAAGCTCCGTAAACATCTGTAGAAGAAAGGAAGAAAGGGAGAGATATTATTAGCAAAACCTGGGCACTTGACACGTATCTCGTTTAATCTAACAACCTCGTGAAGTAGGAGACACCCCCCCCCCAAACCACCACCACCAACCACCACCTTTTTCCCCAGGTAAGGAAAACGAGGTTCAGAGAGATTAAGTCACCTTTCTGAGGACAAAGGTAGGCAAGCTGGCAGAACCAGGATTTGAACCCAGGTAGTCTGACTCCAGAGCCTGGGCCTCTAACACCGTGCTATACATAGCCTTACTGCAGAAAGCTACTCTGGCCGGATGGAAAGTGGGGGAAAGATCTGAGGCTGAGAAAAAACTCAAGAGGCCAGCCAGGTTAGCTGGATAAACATTTGTGACTTCTACCCCGTCCTTGCATAATCTTGACTTTGGCTTGCCTTCCTATTCCAGGTCTCCACTGCTGATGAAGCGGTGCCCCAAAGCATCCAACCCCTGACAGCCATCTGCCCTGCAGCCATTGCCCACATTCCCATGCCCTGCCGGCGGGGCGAGGCGACGAGGGTCTCTGCGCAGCCACCAGGCTCCACCCCGGAGATGAACACGATGTCAGGACCCTAGCGTGCCCGATGATGCCCCCTGCCTAGCTCCTCCTCACACTGTGGTACGATGCTGAGCGACTCTGCCAACAACTCCAGCGTTGCTCCCCTGTGCCCTGACTACCGGAGCACCCACCGCCTGCACATGGTGGCCTACAGCCTGGTGCTGGCCGCCGGGCTCCCCCTCAACGCGCTGGCCCTCTGGGTCTTCCTGCGCGCGCTGCGCGTGCACTCCGTGGTAAGCGTGTACATGTGCAACCTGGCGGCCAGCGACCTGCTCTTCACCCTCTCGCTGCCCGTGCGCATCTCCTACTACGTCCGGCACTACTGGTCCTTCCCCGGCCTCCTGTGCCAGGCGGCGGGCGCCATCTTCCAGACGAACATGTACGGCAGCTGCATCTTCCTGACCCTCATCAACGTGGACCGCTACGCGGCCATCGTGCACCCGCTGCGGCTGCGCCACCTGCGGCGGCCCCGCGTGGCGCGGCTGCTGTGCCTGGGCGTGTGGGCGCTCATCGTGGTGTTCGCCGTGCCCCTCGTCCTGGTGCACCGGCCCTCGTCCTGCAGCTACAACGGCAGCCAGGTACACCTGTGCTTCGAGAGCTTCGGCGACAGCCTGTGGAAGGGCAAGCTGCTGCCCCTCGTGCTGCTGGCCGAGGCGCTGGGCTTCCTGCTGCCCCTGGCGGCCATGCTCTACTCGTCGGGTCGGGTCTTCTGGACCCTGGCGCGTCCCGACGCCACGCGGAACCAGCGGCGGCGGAAGACCGTGCGCCTCCTGCTGGCCAACCTCGTCATCTTCCTGCTGTGCTTCGTGCCCTACAACACCACGCTGGCGGTCTACGGGCTGCTGCGGGGCAACCTGGTGGCGGCCAGCGGCCAGGCCTGCGACCGGGTGCGCCAGGTGCTCGTGGTGATGGTGCTGTTGGCCGGCGCCAACTGCGTGCTGGACCCGCTGGTGTACTACTTCAGCGCCGAGGGTTTCCGCAACACCCTGCGCGGCCTGGGCACTCCGCTCCGCGCCAGGACCTTGGCCACCAACGGGGCTCAGGGGGCGCTTGCCGGAGGGCCCACCGAGACCACCCTCATCACCAGTCCGGCTCCCGCCAGTCAGGAGCTGCTTGGGCCTTCCAACTTCGGGACGCCCTTGAGGACCCAACGCCCCGAGGACTCGGCCCTCTGAACGCACATCGTGCGGTCGCGTTCCTGTGTGTTTCACCCCGCCCCCGCCACCACCCCTGCCACACACACCCCCGCCACCACCACCATCCCCGCCCCGCGCCGCTCACACGCGCACACTCACAGGGTGTGTACATGAGGGAAGTGAATGGGCACTTGGACTTCTGGGTGGCAACTCCTGCCCATAAATGCAGGAGAGAACCAAGTGCGGGGAGCCAGGGGCACAGGGAAGGAAGAGTGCTGGTGGAAATGCCTTCTTTACTTTGGTGGTGATGGTGAGCATGGGGCAGATCCCTTCCCCAGTCCCGAGGGAGTGATGCTGTGAGCTTCCCCAGTGCAGAGGCAGACGACTGGATGACATGCCCTTGGTGTGGGCATGAAACACTATGGAGAGCTGGTAGATGGAGCAGAAAATGAGTGTCCTGGATTTAGACCAACCACAGCAGTCTTAGTGCCTTCGGTGCCACCCACTCTCATTTCCACCTGGCCTTGCCCTGCCCAGCATGGAGGCAGGATACAAGAGTTTACTGGATACAGACAGAATCGGTTTCATTCTTGGTTAGTGACTTGTAACAATTTAGACCTGACACGCAGCATGGGGTGGTTGAGGGCAGGATACAAATGTGAGTTAGAGGGTGTTTTCTCCCCAGAGCCTGGTCCCTGTAGCCCTTTCTAGGTGTCTTTTCTCCTTCCACCCCACCCCACTTCCAAGACCTCCTCCATTCTAGGTTCTAAATTCTCTCTCTCTGCCTCTGGCGCTTCATCTAGAATTAAGGAGAAAATTCTTTGTACTAAAGTAGCAGTTCTCAAACTTTGTTCTCAGACCCTTTTACAACTCTTAAAAATCGAGGATTCCAAGGAGTTTTTGCTTATACTTTATTCTTTTGATACTTAACCATATTAGAAATTAAAACTCGTAAGTTGTAACAACAGAAACACACAAGCACACCTTCCCTTAGCTGTGAGAGCAATAATGTCATCACACTTCAGGAAGCCTCTGGAAAACTCCACCCTATACCGGTGAGTGAGGAGATTGCAAAGGACAAACAACATGGTGGGAGTAACAGTATTCCGAAAATAACTTTGACCTTGTGGACATTCTCGAAGAGTCAGTATTAGAGTTCACGTGTAACTTCTTCCCAGGGCATATGTATACATTGTTTTTTATTACCGCGGGGGACAGGGCAATGCTCCACAAATCAATTGCTAATTGTAGTCCCAAAGGCTTGAGGGTGTGCAGGGGCAGGTAGATGCTGCACACCCAATGCAACATTACTTTGGGCTTCTTGGTGCGGGTGCTGCAGCTCTGAGGTGGGGGTGAACAAGGCACACAAACACTCTGAGGAGGGGGGGGCTTCTCTTTCCCACGGAAAGGAAAAGGGGACTGTTGCCACAGCCAGGGAAGAAGTTTCCAGGGAAATAAGAGTGCGATGGGAAGACAGGAATGGGCTCTCTGTTCTTAGCAAGCTGGAGGCAAGGAAATGGAAGACTGGTTAAAGGGCCACCTACTGTTTCCTTCTTCCCTCTTTACCGGAGTAGGGCTGGGAGGGGTTGCAGAGTTGGCATCTTGAGACTCTGCATAAGTGAGGAAGTTGCTGCCATGCGTGTGTCCTGTATGCATTTCTGTCGCTAGGTCTCTCAATGATGTGTGTGTGTGTGTGCGTGTGTGTGTGTGTGTGAGAGAGAGAGAGAGAGAGAGAGAGAGAGAGAGAGTGTCAGGGTTTCCCTGTGTGTGTCTCTATGTGTTTTAGTTTGGACTAAGCCTTTTGTGTGTCTTCAAGGAATTGCTCCAGATGGTGATTTACAGGGGTAAAATGACCCCTGGTGGCCAAAGTGGAGAACTGACCCAGATTCCTCAGCGATAGCTTTCAAGTAGAGCCTTCCACCATCTGGTGGGAAGATAGAGCCCCAGGCCAGGCCCTCCTGTAGCTCTAGAGGAGGCCTGATGGTTAGCACCTGCTCCATCTTGCTTCATCCTTGGGTTCAAGACCCATGCCCCGGGAGCATAAAATGTGGTGGTAGTCCAAAGTCTCAGAACTTTGCCCTATCCAAACTGAATTGAACACAGTTTTTAAAAATTACTTGAGTATTTTTATATTCTGATATGTGAATGAATTCCAAAGTGATGAAAACTCCCAGAGCAAGTATCTTCTAATATACTATATAATTATTTATTTTTATATTTTTTATAGTTTCCTGTCTGTTTCTCCACCCCTCCCCCCCCCAGGTAGAATGTAAGGTCCCTGGGGGCAGGGATTTTTGTTTGCTTGGTTCTCTGATATATCTCCAGCATCTAGAACAGCTCCTGGCACAAAAGAAGTGCTTAATAAATACTTGTTGAATGATGAATTGTTGAATTTTGATGTGGAGTAGTTTACTGTCTCGTGGGGGACCACGGAACAAGGCAACAATTACCATTCAAGACAGAGGATGCAAGAATGCAGAGTAAGGTGTTGGCAGTTAATTTCGTGGGCAGTGGGAAGCCCCTAAAGGTTCTTGAGTGAGGTTTTCCTCACCCTGACATACAGTGTGGGGTAGGGAAGTGAGTTGGGGCGTCTAAGCGGGAAAGGAAGACTGGTCAGGCTGCTGTTAAAATTGTCAAGGAGAGGTGTGACCATGGCCTGTGGAGGTGGATGGAAATGGGTCACCTGCATGTGAAATCTCTGGGGTTTAAGCTCTGGGGGCGCATTCAGTACAACCAAAGAGTTTCTATCACGAGCATAGAGAGGCAGGAATAGATTCAGGAGATATGGCAGGCAGAGGGGGAATGAACAGAAGAAGCTGACAAGTAACAGGCTGGGGAAGTTTAAGAACACCTGTAGCCAACCACTGCCGTTTTCACAGGATTCTCCAATGACTGAGGGCACAGTAGGACAGACGCGAGCTGTGGGGGGATCCAGAGCCCTCACCCCGCGTCCTAGAGTGACCCCATTTGTGGTTTAGGAAAATCCAAATGAGGAAAACGAGAACATCCTAGATGGAGGGAGAAGAACATTTAACAAGTTTTGGAAATACTCCCTATGTCGCGATCTCCACTATTGATTATATTATTTAGTGATTGGTTATTATAATAAGCCTCTGAGTTAGGGACGATTATTATCCCCATTTTACAGATGAAGCACCCTAGAGAAGCTGCGGTCTGAAGGTCACACAACCAGGAAGAGGCACGGTTTCTATTTGGCTCCCAAACTCCTATTCTTTGCAGTACATTCCACCATATCTCCCCTTCCTGGGGCTTCCCACCTTCTCCTCCCGGCTCTGTCCCGTCCACCCTCCCTGGTTTCCTTTCTCCTCCTCACCCAGGCCACCTCTCCAGCTACTTCTCTCACCCTGAATCTGCTGCACCATCTCTGCTCCATTACTTCCTCCATACTCCTAACCCACTTACCCCCCCCACCTGCCCCTTCCCCTTCCACCGGCCCCAGGTTCCTGCTCAGAGCACCACGCAGCTATGTCAGCACAGAGAACTGGGCTCACTCGCGGTTCCAGTTGTGTCAAGCCCCGAAACATACCCCATCGAGGCCTTAGAAGGGAGTAGCTAGCTGGTGGCACACCCAGGCAGGGTGGCTCAGCCTGGGTGCAGTTGGCCATGATGCCCGTCCCTTAGCCGGGAGGTACCCAGCATCTCCAAGGCAGCCCTCCTGCTTGTCCACCGACTAAGCTGAAGAGGACACCTACCCCTGGTTCTCCTCAAAGTTGGCCTCCTCTGTAGGATGGGCCCTCCCCATGGTGAGAATAGCCTGGAGAAGGGTAACAATCATTGGTCTTGAAATAGAACAAATTCAGGAGAACCAGGGCGACAAGTAAGGGGTCACAGAGGGGCAGGGATGCTTCTCTTGGCCCTGAACCGTCTTGAGGGAAATCCCCACTGGGTTGCCTCCTGAGGTCCCATGGAGGAAATGGGGAGGGGGGTTTAAATCTCACACCACAGGCCTCCCTTCTTCATTCTTTCAGGAGACCCTGGAGACAGAGGGAGGCTGAGTAGTTCTCACCATGCTATATCCTTAGCACCGAAAAGTGAAGTTTCTCACACGGGCCTTGGGGAATCCCAAAGGCTCTCAGAACCAACCTGGGCGGGTACTAATTTCAGCTCTGTCACTTCTTGACAATGTGACTTTAGCAAGTTACTTCAACACTCTGAACCTCTGTTTTCTCCTCTGTGAAATGGGGATCATAGTATCTACCTTGTTGGGTTGCTGTGAGGTCAAAGATATCACCTTGGAAAGGCACCTGAGAGAAATCCCAAAAGGGGGAGCTCTCTTTTCAACAAGAGTGTGGGAAGGAGATGCTACTGGTAAAGTCTGTTTGTGATGCCCAAGGGGAGTGTTTCTGGAAGACAGCAAGGGCTTCAAGGTGAATCCTCACCCGGACAGAGCTCTGCCAGCGATCAGAACCAGGGCCAGGGGATGGGTGAGCAAGGCAGGCTGGGCAAGTTTCCATGGTGCTAGGTCAAGTAGACAGTTTTCAGGGGCAGTGACTGGCCTGTTGCCCTCTGGGGGCACTCTCTCCCCACTAGGCCTAATGTCCATCCCACAGACAGAGGAGTGGGTAGAAAAGTGCCTGAAAGGGAGAGGAAAGGGGGCATGGGATGAAGAACCAAGCAAAGGAGAAAGGGCAAGAGAGGAGGCTGGAGGGGAAGTAAGGGCCCAGACAGGGTGGGGCTGGGAGGGGGGCCTAGGGCAGGAGGGCGGGAGAGAGAGCCCGGGAGGGAAAGCGCCGAGGAGGGAGGAGGGAGGGACAGGGAGGGAGACCAGCAGCGCTGACACAGCCTCGATGTGTGGAACGGGCTGGGGTTTGGCCCACAGGTCAGGCGTCTGGCAGTATTATGGGATGGAGAGGCCTTAGGAGACAGGGAGAGTATTATGGGCTGGAACAGCCTTAGGAGACTGGGGAATATTATGGGCTGGTGAGGCCCGGATCCAACTGGAGGCGGGAGGAAGGGGTGCGGGGCGGGAAGGGGGGGGTGGTGGTGGAAGGGAATATTATGGGCTGGAGGCCTCCTGCGACCAGAGGCAAGAGTATTATGGGCTGGCAAGGCCTTCAGTGGCCA